CTGTGACCATGTGTGCCATGATATTCGCACATTTGATTGGGATTCCTCTGGGCAGGATCGGTCTGCATGGGTCGAGGCCATTTAGTGTCTTTGATGCATCTGATCGTCGACACGATGGCGGATGCATCAATACTGAAGTTATATTCCGATAACCGAGGCGCTTCCTTAGATCCGGCAGGCCTATCGAACCTACTTCTGTTCATCAGCCCCCGGGACCCTTGACCTCGATCGCTTCTTTTGTTATTTTGCTCGGGGTTATGTCTCGATTCACTAATTCTGCGGTTTCCGTTGTACGGTCGGTATCGATCCCCGATCGGACCTTGTTCTCGATTAATATCCCTTCGAGCAGCGGGTTCAGACCCCAATTGATCATCTTCGACCCTAATTTTTGATTGGTACCGATTGTGCATGTCGGCCCACGTGATGGCCGGGTATTCGATCAGGTTATGCTTTAACCGCTGTGAAGCCGTCGAACTTCGTTTGTTCAAACCTTGAGTGAAAGCCTGAACAACTCAATCGTCTGTGACTGGTGGCAGATCCATTCGTTCCATTTAAAAACGAGATACGAACTCCCTCAGTATCTCGTTATCCTTTTGTCTTACCTTGAAGAGGTCCGATTTCCTTGTTGCGACTTTTATGGCGCCGACATATGCTTTCACAAAAGAATCTGCTAACATGGCGGATGAGTCGATAGAATTTGGTGGTAGGTTGTTATACCAAATCATTGCTCCCTTCGAGAGGGTCTCTCCTAATTTTTTTAATAACACAGATTCGATTGCATCGTCTTCTAAACTATTGCCTTTGATGGCATATGTGTAAGAAGTGACGTGCTCGTTGGGATCGGTCATTCCGTTATATTTGGGAATTTCAGGCATACGGAATTTTTTGGGGATTGGTTTTAGGTCTGCGCTCGAGGGAAAAGGTTTTTGCACGAATTTTTTTGAATCCAACCCTTTTATCATTGGTGGAGCTCCCGGGATCCGATCGACCCTGGAGTTATATGTTTCTACTTTTTTATCGTTGGCTTCGGCTCACTTTGTGAGTTCCTCGAGCAATTTAGCAATTTCGGGATTAGTCCTCGATTCTTGCTCATTTGACTTCACTATGGCTGGCTCTGTTCTGTGGGTGACTTCTCGAGGCGGATTGGGCTCTGGCCTGCTTTGTAGCTGGGTTTGGCTGTGCAGCTGAGCTATTTCTTCCTGTTGAGCTTGCAACATTTCGAAAATCATACGCAAGCTAATGCTGTTTTCCTCGATGTTAGGGGTATCTCGAGCTGCAGACCGAGTGCCACCATGAATGCTATTTTCGGGTTCAGAATGTAGGTTCACCTCAATGGCCACATGCGAATTGATATCTATCGGTGCTCCAATTCGAGCTCCAACGGCCTTGACAAGTGGTCTTTCGGTACTAGGTGTGAAGTTATTGTTCTCATCTTGAAGACCGGCTTCGTTGTCGATTGGTGTGGCTATTTGACTAGTAGTTAGTTGTTGCTAATCCGAAATCCAAGATATTTTTGAAAACAAGCGCAAAACACAACGGTGTGTTTTTGTAGATTCGTATCAAATAACCACTGTTATCCTTAGCCCCACGGTGGGCGCCAAACTGTTTACCCGAAAAACGGATAGAGTTGAATTTGTACGTAGATCTAAGGATATGTGGTGCAATCTTAATACAAATCGTAAGGATAAATAGAAATATCAAGTATGGATTACAAAGAATGCAAAATAGATAAGGTTGCAAAGAAGATGAATTTTAGGACTAAACAAGTGGAATCAATTTTAGAAGCTTGAAAGAATAATTCTTCACTATAGGAGAATATGGTGCTCGAATTATAATGTAAGCAAAAAAAACTTGCCTCTACAGAAATGATAACCATCTCCTTTACAGTAGAGGGATCTTACTTTAGATATAATTAAAAATATATAGTGGGAGACCCATGGTAAATTAGTTTTTCCACAATTTCTGCCAAAATTCTCTCCTCTAATGGGATTGCAACGGCTCTTGTCTATGAGCTCGATATCGACTCAAGTTTTCGGTCTTGACTCGAGCTCTTGATCTTGGCTTGAGCTCGATTCTGACTCGGACCCTTGAATTGATTCGGGGTCAATGTTGCTCGATAACTTTACTTTGTATCATAGTTCGATTTGGATTCGGGATCGATAATGATATCGAGCTCGACATTGATCAGCCCCTCGAATTCGAAGCTTGTTTGTGCCATCTTCGGAACCCGTCTCGAAGTCTCGCTTCGATCGATTATGTTTCGAACTCGATCAATCGTACGAATGTCGAAATCTATTTCGACCGTATACAAGTATCTTGCAGACAATCTTGCTGCAAATATATACCCCTTCATACAGGGGCGAAGCCAAAAATTTTCTCAAGGATGTTCAGACTTGAAAAAAGCTTAAAATATTTCCGACAAAGGATGTTAAATCTATATTATATACGTCTAAAATCTAATATTTTATTTATATACATCGTATAATTTTTTTGTAATATTTCGACGAAGTTGGGTGATCAAAAGTAGACTCGCCCCTGCCTTCGTGAGAAGTTAAAGTATATATTTTCATTTTCAAAGATAGAAAGGAAAAAAGGACAAAAGAATATCATTCTCCTATCGCTCCGACATAGTTTGGCGAATGGTGTATTGACAAATAATTAAGTAGGAGAGAGATTTGATGATTACTCTTATTGCAGTGTGGTGTTTTTTTTCAACTTCATTTATCACAACCACAATGCATATTTAATTACTGAAGTCTAATGTGAGGAAAATGGCAGCACTGAGAATTCTGTTATGAGGTCATTCTATGTCTTAGCCCTTAATGATGCTCTCTTTTTCCTCAAATTCCATAACTAATCATTATCGTTTGGAGCCATTAAATTGACGAGGCAACCACTTCCTCCTTTTACGTCTTACCTGCACCCCTATTAAGCTTTTCTATTTCTTTGGGGATAATTTTTTTCTAATCCTGCGTTTAAAAAAGAATAATATTTTTTAAAATTTAAAAATAATTTAATTTCTAATAATTTATTTATCCTTAATAACATGCACAAATGACATAAATTGTATTTTGTTACTTAAACTTTGTGTACGGTTAAATACCACTACATGAAATGAGCCGGAGACTTTCCAAATGAGAGGTTTAGGGTTCGAAACCCACTTGCATATCTCTTCGGTTGAGTTCGTCGCACAGGACTTGCCTAATGCGGCTTATCCTCCCGTATGGTTTACGGGTTATTACACAGAAGCGGAGTTTACCATGTGCACACTCGAAAAGTAGCGACCAGGGTTTCCTTGTAAAAAAAACGAAGGGAGTATTACTTTTACAAAATTAACTCAAGTGCTAACTAATATTCTAGAAGACTAATTAATTGAAGAAGTTGTAGCTGGTTAGTTGTTGACTTCTTGTTGTTGGGCTAATATCATAGTCCTTTTATTTTTATTATCACCATACAAATTGGAATAGTAATTATTTACTACATACATATTGGTGGCGTTCAAAATCTCAGATAGGCTTTGGGATATGACGTGGTATGACGACACCATCATCAGAAGAAAACCATGATCAAATTTAATTTTGGAGTGATTTATTTATTTATTTATTATAATCACTATGAGGTTTGCATAACAAGCAACGTACTATCATCAAAAAGACAACCAACTTGTAGAGTTCATCAACAACTATTAGTATACTTTTAGTAGCAACTTAACCAAAAAAACAAAGGGTGGGGGGAATGGAATTTCGCTCAACTCGTAACAACTACTCCATCCGTTTAATTTATGCGGCATAATTTAATTGGATACATAGTTAAAGAATGAAAGAATTTTAAAACATGTAACTTATTCATGCTATGAGATTTTTATGGTCATAAAAGCATTGCATTTAAAATTTAAATAAGAAATGTAAAGTTCAATGATTTTTGAATATTGAAAGGTGTTCTTTTTTATATTGATTAATAAGGAAATAATTTTTTTTTATCCATTAAAAAATGGGTTGGATAATGAACTTTTAAAAAATGGGTCAAATGTGGATAAGACCATATTATCTACTTAAAAATGGATAATCAGTTGGTTTAACTTTTATATTTGCAAAGACTCAAATTGGGGGTTCCGCAAGTTTGAGAGATTAGGAATTCTCCCAAAATGATCATTTTCAAGAAGCCGTAATAAATATGGATCGGATCGAGTATTTTATCTGTTTTGCATTACCCCTTTTTAGCCCGCCCATATCCGATTCGACCCCCATTTGCCACCTCTAATAGGTAGTAAGTCTTTATTCTGTTGCATCCATGAATCTCTTTTTGCCACATTTATTCTGCGCATCCATCCCAATAGGAAGTTATGATTAATTAATGGCTAGTTCACATTGATTAGAATAATAACAATAACATACCCGGTGAAATCTCACGAGGGAATCTCAAGAGGGTAGTGTTTACGCAAACCTTATTTCTACCTCGTGAAAATAGACAAGTATTTTTTATGGACTCTCGGCTCAAATAAAACATAATTCACATTGATTAGGATAATTGTGAAAAGAATCTACTACTTAATTAAGTGGAGAGTTTTAGTATTACAAATAGATACACAAAACATAGGAGAAATGATTTTCCTTATTTCTGAAATCTACTAATGGTTTTTCTTTACTTATATTAAGCAGCATCTAGTTTCTGCTATTCGGGTAAATATGCATAGCAGAGTTTAAAAGGCACAAATTCCTGAGCCATGAGGGGTTCAACTTTAAAAACATTTCCTCCGATTCAGTACAATTGTTAATCAAATTACTACAAATTTACGTACGGGCGCGGTTGAGGATTTCAGCATACGGTAGAAAGATTCACCGTGCAGAGGCGGATCTAGAATTTCTAGTATATGGGTGCACTACTAGAAAAATGAGGAAAAAAATATATGAAGTGAGAATTGATTTCTATTTCTCTTGGTAAATAATTCAACTACCAAATGCAACATTTAGCCTTCTTGGAGAATGAGTGCCAACAATAAATATTATACCAATTTTTAAAAATATATACATAAAATATCTAATTTTATAGAAAAATTATGAGTTTACGTGCCGCATAATCTCCCCCATAAATCCACTCATGATTCACACAGCCATCAGCATAGAGGCATGTCTAAGGGACGTGGCAACAACTTTTCGTCAGGGCAATCTCCTTCTCTCACAATGAATACAGTCCTCATGCCCCATGTCAAATGACGCTCAAAATGGCAGTGCAAAAACCAAACTCCTGGAACATTGGAAGATCAAGAATAAGCAAAGAAGAAAAAGAACGTTCAATAATTGGAAAAGACATACTCCCCTATGTTTCATTTTATGTGATGGAGCTCGAAATTCCAGGGTCAAACTATTTACTTTTCATGTAATTGAGGTATAGGTCTATCAGAAACAACTCTCTGTCTCCACAAGGTAGGGATAACGTCTGCGTACACTCTACCCATCCCAAACTTCACTTTATGGGATTACACTAGGTCTGTTGTTATAGTTGTTGTTGTTGTGATTCAGGTATAGAATATTCAAGTGTGTTAAAATACAAGTTACATACTTAGAAACTACCTAAGAAATACTATAGGTGACAGTACTTAATAACTCAAAATGTACGGTGTGGAATAGATGGAGTACTTAATAAACAAAATTAGCAAATAAAAGAGCTTTCAATTGTACTAGTAAAAACAAGAAAAAAGGAATTAGACTTACCCGGGTTGTCTGCTTTGAATCTAATGGCAGCCCAACCCCTTTTAGGGACAGCAACAGTGTTCTGGCGAGGAGGATCAACAAGATTATAGTTCAGAGGATCCGTACCCTCGTCGAAATTTCCAAGTCCTAATCCCACAGTGTAGAAATTAAATCCATGTAGATGCATTGGATGATCTATGCCAGCAACCAGGTTAGTCCCTTGAAAAACAAGCTCAACTGTGGTATTATACTTCAGCATTACTACGTGTGTCCCGCTTTCTGGTATTTCCAATTGCAAAGGCAGGACATCTGCAGTATAATTGAATACATATGGGGGAAACTTTGGAAATTTCTCCCCGAATAACACACCCTTTATATGATAATAGTATGCTTCTAGGATATCAATGGACGGGTTGACAAAGCTTATGTTGTTCATACTCGCTGCTAGTCTCGTTCCATTAGGTCCTTGGCACGTAGAGTTTGTGCCGTTTATAGGACAAGGGTATGCATTTATTGAAACTGTTGATATCAACCTATCTTTCACTTCAGTTGGTACAGATATTGGGTGGTCTTCTGAAGCCAAGCTTCTAAGACTAGCACTAAAATCTACAGATGCAAGAGTATCATTGTAACAAGGTAAATCAGGCAATGAAGGAGGAGAAGAATATTCGTCGTAATTTCCTTTGTATTCCAATATGGCTGTGGTGGTTGTGTTGTCGAAACTGACATTAACGCCACTGGAATAAGCTCTAGCAGCCATGTAGTAACGACCGGGCTTTTGGTTAGCCTCCAAAATGCAATCAAATGTTTGTCCAGGAGTTATTGTGATAAATTCCCTTGTCAAGGGCTTAGTGTAGCTCCCATCTGTTCCAACTACTTTGAGTTTATGCTCTGCTACTCTAAAGAAAAGCATTTCATTCATTGCGGCGTTTATGATCCGAAGCAGATATGTCTTCCCACACTCCACCTCTAGCTTGAATGTCTCTGCGCATACATTAAATAGGAAAGGTCACAACACAACACTGCCTTTTTTCTGATGGAGAAAACAACTCGCTTACTCACCTACTATAACTTTGAATTAGTTTTCCAACACTTACCACGCTCCGAACAAGGATAAAAATCTCCAGGCTGACCATTTATTGTGTAAGCATCAGAATCAATTGGTTGACCTCCTGAGGTGATAAATTGCTCATATACCAACATAATATTTTCTTTCCACCACTCCCCTAAGAATCAAATTAAGAAGACAATAGTTTTTAGAGGCTTGATCAAGACTTCAAAAAAAAAAAAAAAAAAGGCTGCCCGGTGCATAAAGCATCCCGCATTCATATAGGATCCGGGGAAGTGCTGCATCCCTAGGGGTGTGATGTAGGCAGTCTATCCTAATGCAAGCATTAGTGGCTGCTTCCATGGCTCGAACTCGTGACTTATAGGTCACACGGAAGCAACTTTACCGTTGCTCCAAGGCTCCCCTTCAAAAGAGGGATGCAACACGAGGACTTCCCCGGGGTCATCCATTCTAGTACTACTCTCGCTCAAGCACACTTAGTATGATCGCATCCAATCATAAGACTTCATTGTGTTTAAATTAAACCAGGTACAAGATCGATTGACTAATTGCAATTGTACCTAAGACAAGGGTTAGTTCGGCAACAGGTCTGGGGAAAGGATAGGTAGTACCAAGTTTAGGATAAACAACAATGGCACCATAAACCGTGGCTCGATCCCATTCTCTGTGTGCATGCCACCATAAGGTGCCTTCTTCATCCGAAAAGATCAACATTTGCCTGAATTTTGAACCTGGCTGGATTGGACATTGGGTTATGTATTCTGGCCCATCTGACCATGGATTCCTAGGTTGTTTTACTCCATGCCTTCAAATTTTGATGGACAAAATCATTAGAATTTAAATTCCAAATAATTAACAAAGCAATAAAAAGAAAAAAGAAATCAAATACTATGTACATCTCTTTAACAGTCATCTTTAATAACAACACTTCACTATAACAACCATGTTTTCTTTGGAACCAATTTTTCATGCTATATTATAATATATATGTTCTCTATAACAACACTTCACTATAGCAACTAAAAAATATTGGAACACACGAGACTGTTACAGAGAGGTTTGACTGTAGTAGTAATACCAGTGAATGGTTATGTTGGTTTTCCCTTCGTTATAGACATCCACAATGATAGTTTCTCCTTTGCGAGCATAAATAGTGGGTCCTGGAAATTGTCCATTCACAGTTAAGATGCTCTTTGATTCGCAGAGCCTTTGATATGATGTTTCTTTCACCTGCGCCATGCAACGTTAGCAAGATAAAGGAAACTAGTACTTAGAAAATACTCACATTTTACTTTCGTAGGCGCAGTTAGTTTGTGTGTATGTGCGCGCACAAGTAAAACGACTCTGTTCCTATGCAAAATCTTAACATATACAGGATATAGAAATTTGCTCAACGCAGAATAGGAAGATCCCTCTTCAAATTGTAGTATAATATACATAAATTGAGCCGAGAGAGTATCGGAAACATAGTCTTTTTACCTTTCCAGGATAGGGAGAAGGTCTGCGTATACACTATCCTCCCCAAACCCCATTTGTGGGATCCCGCTGGGTTGTTGTCGTAGTATAGTATACATAAATTAAACAAGATTGACAGGACAAAATGCCGGGCGACCAAATAGGGAGAAAAGAGAAGATGAAATCTACTTACAATAAAATTATAGTGTTGTATGAAAGCTTGAGTATGTTGGAAAATAGTAAACATGAATGCTAGAAGACATGCTCTTAGAACTGTTCTGCCAACCCATAAGTTGACAATAACCTTCATCTTTTCGCGAAATATTTAAGATGATTTACTGCGCGTTAATCATGGTGTTATCTCTTGTTAAGATATAATTTATAGAATGGAAAGAGTAAAAGGATGATAATCTGCAGCCTTCTAGCTAAAATTAGATGCTGCCGTGCTGCCCACCGAAAGTAGTACGCAAAAGTTTCAGCTACTATATTAATTGCATATGAAAATGATTAAGAGATTGGGAATTTGACGTTCCTATTAAAAGAAAGTAGGCATCTTGTTAAACATTGCATTAATTTAGTTAATGATATAATTTAGGCATATCTTAAAATTAAAGTTGATTCACTATTTGAGTTTTTCTGATTATGGTTTCTGATTATAATATTATAGACATCTTTTCTTGGTTCCGCCATTTTTTTTTCTTGTTCTGCAAGTACTTCTATATGCATTTGCTTAATTACCACGCGAGTATTTATTATCTCATTTTCCTACTTTACTTTGCAATGCCAACAATCTTTTTTGGGCAACGTATGAGTGCATTTGAAGGAAGCAGGGTAGGCTAGAGCTTTCCTTAGCTCTATATTATTTAAGGTTTGCATCTTGATCTTTACCTTGGTTGAGAGAGAGTTAAACTTGTATACGCTGACGGTATAAAAGAACTTCTATGTATTAATTTATTTAAAAGATAAATTAAACATAATTACTCAAAATAAGTGGAATCAGTGCCCTGAAAATAAGTAAGACACAACCTGTTATAATAAGTTATATTACACGGTCATGTAAAACTTTTCACACAATCAACATGTATAAGTCAAATCTTGATTGAAAATATTTTACTGGAAAACGACTTGTTTCATAAAGTCATTTCCAATTGAGTACCTTGAATCATGAAAAATATTGTTTTTAAAAGAAAATGAATTTCTACGAATCAAAAGGACAAAAAAGTGCTTCTTCCTCGCTCTCTCGCCGCAGTTTAAGCTAACGTGCGCCGACCTCGTCAATGACAGGAAAGAAGTCACGCGGTCGTCCTAAAAAGCAACAGATCAAGGTTGATGACAAAATACCCAAGCTTAAGAACATCGGAAGTACCTCGTCGGCAGTCATGGAGTCAATCTCAGGGACCTCCAAAACATAGGTAAGAGGTGAAATACTTATCCAGATCCCTTATGTTGGAGCCTCTGCATCTGCAAGCCAACAGCAGAAACGAGCAAATCAGAGCCCTATTCTTATGCAAGTGAATTTGAGAGATAGTGTAACACATTCTCCATCTAGGGGTGTTATTATTCCATTGGGAAAGGAGCTGGAAGCTGGAAATCAAGCTCCAAAATCAGCTAAAGCTACATTGGGGAAGAAGAAGGAAGCCGAGAATCAGTCACCAGCACACATTATTGTTCCATTGCCGGAAAGTACCAGGGAACCAACTTAGGCTGGGGTCCTTAATGGTAATCGATCAGCTGCTAATGGTATGCCTTTGCACTACATTACTCCTGAAGTAGTAGAAGGTAATCTTGTGGCCAAACTTGAGAAATCAGATTTAGAAGCTGAAACTTTAAAATGGAAATGTGCCCTAATCATTTATGTAATTGGGGAAAAGCCAGGGTATAACTATATGCATAGATATATAAACAAGATGTGGAATACGGTCACTCTGCCAGAGCTCTATTCTCATGATGATGGTTACCACATCATTAGGTTTCAATCCATAGCTGATATGAAGAAAATTCTGTGTGAGCGACCTTACACAGTCAACAATAGGACCATGATAATGAAACAATGGAGTCCACAGTTTGATTTTGATGCTGAATTTTTAACTGAGATTCCTCTTTGGGTTTAGATTTCCCAAACTTCCCATGAACTACTCGGGAGGTAGCTCATTGAGTAGAATAGCAAGTACAATAGGGATTCCACTGTTTGCAGATGAGTGTACTACCAAACAAACTAGAATCTCTTATGCCAAAATCCTCATTGAGGTGAATGTCACTAAACCTCTTCCTAGCAAGGTCCCTATTATAGATGACTCATGTAGAATGTTTGATCAGATAGTGGAATATAACTGGAAATCTGAATTCTGTGGGAAGTGCTTAAAAATTGGTCATAACTGTACAAGAGCTCGCAAGGAGGAGGTTAAGCAAGTTCAACAGCCTAAAATAAATAGGCCACAACATGTGAAACAAGTGTAGAAGAGTACAGGAGTTGTGTTGGCTCCTGCACACAAAGTTAATCCGGGGCAGATAGTGATGCTGAATGAACAAGGGCTTACTACGTGTGCTGATGAGAGCAAAGTAGCAGAACCAATACCTGCAGAAGGTCAGCAACAATCTCTTGACAAAGGGATAAAAACAGCTGAAGTAAATGACATACCTCTGAACTATGCACAAGCAGCTGTATCACCTGGTAAGCAAAGATCTAGTCAATAGACAAATATAGCAGTGATAGATACTTTGTCACTACTATCTGCAGGTGGTACATCCAAACTTACTTGATGCCTTGGTTGGTTTGAAACATTAGAGGTACTAACAAGCGTTATAAGCAAAAAGAGTTTGGTACCTATATTAAAAAGAATAATATTAAATTAGTTGGTTTAGTAGAAACTAAAGTCAAAAAAGATAAGGCAGATGGCATTGCTAATAGGGTAGTGCCAGGTTGGCAAGTAATATTTAACTATGATCATGCTACTAATGGAAGAGTCTGGATATTATGGGATCCTTCCTACTATGATATAACAGTGATAGATCATTATGCTCAAGCTATGCATTGTGATGTTAGAGGAAGGAAGGTTCAAATGAATTGTCTCATGACAGTCATTTATGGGTTTAACACAATTGAGCTGAGAAAGCCCCTATGGGTGCAATTGTAAAACCCTGCAGCATAGATCACCAAGCCTTGGCTCATTTGGGGAGATTTTAACTCATTGTTAAATATACAAGACATAATACATGGGAACCCAGTAACTAGTAATGAGTTTCAAGACTTCACAGACTGTATGCAATGTTTGAACTTATGTGAATTACCTTGGAAGGGGGAATACTATACATGGTCTAATAAATAACAAGGTACACATAGAGTTTTTAGCAGGATTGATAGAGCTACTGAAAATGATGAATGAATTAATACCTTTGGTCATATGGAGGTGGACTACAAAATGCCTTTTTATCTCAGATCATGCACCCATGATGATCACTTTAAGGAAAGCTTAATCCAGTGGCAAGATCCCATTTAAGTTCTTTAATGTTTGGGCTGATCATGAAGACTTCTTATCAGTGGTTGAGGGAGTTTGGCAGATACAACTATATTCAAACACCATGAAAGATATCTGGTACAAGTTGAAGGCTCTTAGGTCAAAATTGAAGCAATTTAATAATAATGGGTTTAGGGGAGTAACAACTAAGATAGAGCATCTCAGACACATGCTGCAGGATACTCAAGAGCAGCTGAAGAGAGACTACTCTGATGCAGTTGCATTAGAGGAGAAAAGGTTACTTGAAGAGTTGGAAAGATGGTCATTAATAGAGGAAAGCATCCTTCAGCAGAAATCCAGAGCTAAGTGGATAAAGCTTGGTGATTCTAACACCAAATATTTCTCAGCTGTCATGAAGGAAAGAAGTCATAAAAAGATTATTGCAGAACTTACTAATGCCTTTGGAGATAGACTCACTGACCAGAAGCAGATCCAATAAGAAATAATTGCCTTCAATAAATCCCTTATGGGATCAAGATCAGATCACTTGCCTGCAGTGAACAAAGAAATAATAAAACTGGGACCTGTCCTCACACACTCCCAGCAGGTGATCCTGTGTGCTGAGGTCACTGACCAAGAAATATTTGAAGCCCCATGTGCAATTGGAGATGATAAAGCACCAGGTGTTGATGGCTATAATGCACTATGTTTCAAAAGAACTTGGACACTTATCATACCAGAAGTGTGTCATGCAGTGAAGGATTTGTTTCATTCAAGCAAGCTTCTTAGAGTAATTAATTGTACAGTTATCACCCTGATTCCTAAGGTTTCTCATCCAACAAGTATCAAGGAGTATAGACCTATCGCTTGCTGCACTGTCCTGTACAAATTAATTGCCAAAAATCTTGCAAACAGGCTGCAAAATATTATTGCTTCAGTTGTCAGACACCCAAGCTGGCTTCATTCCTGGCAGGAAACTAGCAGATAATGTTCTACTAACCCATGAGTTAGTCAAAGCTTACTCTAGGAAGAATATTTCTCCAAGATGCCTCATCAAAGTGGACATTCAGAAAGCCTATGATACAACCGACTGGAGGTACTTGCATCAAGTTTTGGAATGTCTGGGATTTCAAGTTCAATTTACCAACCAGATCATAGAGTGTGTCAACAGTGAATTATACCATTCTCATCAATGGGGAGGCAACTAAGCCATTTGATGCAGCTAGAGGGATTAGGCAAAGAGATCTTATGTCTTCATTCCTCTTTGCCATAGCAATGGAGTATTTGAGCAGTAACCTAAAGATACTTAAGTATGAGAAAACTTTCCACTAGCATCTCTAGATTTGACCTAACTCATTTGAGCTTTGCTGATGACCTTCTCCTTTTTACAAGAGGAGATACTACTTCTGTTGTCCTATTGCATCAAAAAAATCAATGCCTTTTCAGCAGCTTATAGGCTTAAAGTAGATCTAGCCAAAAGCTCAATATATTATGGAGGAGTTAGCAATGAACTGAATCATGAGATCCAATAAGCTAGGGTATAGTCAAGGAGTGTTGCCTTTCAAATATCTGGGCATACCTCTTGATACTAAGAAGCTGTCAATATTGCAATGGCAACCTCTCATTGATAAAATTATGAGCAGAATTTCTTCATGGACAACAAAGAAATTGTCTTATGTAGGCAGAATACATCTAGTCCAAACAGTAATCTTTGGCATCCAAGCCTACTGGGCTCAAATCTTTATTATACCTGCTAAAGTCATCAAAGCAATTGAAGCACATTGTAGAAGCTATATATGGTCTGGATTGAATACAACAACCGAAATATCTTTGGTGGCATGGGAAGGGATGTGTTCTCCAAGACCTGCTGGAGGATTGAATATGATTTACTTGGCCATGTGAAACAAAGCTGCTATCACTAAGACCTGCTGGGAGTTAGCTAACAAGAAGGACAAGCTATTGATTAGATGAATCCATAGCTACTATATCAAAGAGCAGGAGTTTATGCATATGGGAGTACCAAAGCAAGCATGTTGGATGGTTCGAAAGGTGTTTGAGGCAAGAGATAAGTTACACCTTATTAGCAATTTGTCACAAGGCACAGTCATAAAATAGGTGTACCTGCAACTACTAGGTGTATTTCCAAAAATTTTATGGAAAGGATTGATGTGTCAAAATCAAGCAACACCAAAAGCCATCTTCACCATGGGGCTTCAGGTGCAAGGAAGAATGTTAACAATTGATAGATTGAAGAAATTGGGAATGCAAATAGATGACACTTGTTATTTCTATCATCAACAACCAGAGACGCGAGATCATTTATTTGGTAAATGTGAATATGGTAAATGCCTATGGCACAGGCTCATGCACTAGCTACAAATTTAGTACCCTCCTATAGACTCATGGGCAGCAAATCATTAATGGATAGTTATGAAAACTAAGAGAAGATCTCAGCTGGCAAGAGTACTTAAACTAGTCTATGCAGAGTATATTCATGCACTGTGGATTGAGAGAAATTCACGGATCTTTAAGAAGACTGCATGGGAGGTCCTAGCGAGGAGAGTGGCTTGCATATGCAACGTCAGAGCTGAAGGCTACACGCGAGTATTGCTCAGCAATTGTAAATATTAGTCGCTAGAATGTGTTTAGCAAGGCATAGAAATATAGAGTGGTTTGTTGGATACTTTCTTTTATATTATAGAGCAGACTGAGATGGTTACTCAGATTTGTAAATGTTACATTGGTAATTAATGCATAAAGTTTAATTACCAAAAAAAATATCTAAAAGTAACTCCATATCACTTTAATTCAACTAATATTAAATATTATTCCGAACTTTAATACTCAAAATATCACTGAAACGTAATTTTATATAATCTATTACACAATTTCATACAAATGAGATTTAACTCCATAATCCCAGATAAATGAGATTATTCGATATGTTAGTTATTTGCTTACTTAGCTCGTATGACAATTACACGATAAGAGGAACAAACGTCTACTTTGAGCAAACTCTAGTAGCCATCGGCATGTGCGAACGAGGATGGAAGTTAACATCAACATATCGAGTTTGATTGAAGAAGACAGTTAGTTGCTGTAGAAAGTTCATATCTAGTATGGGTCCACCCCTGATTGAACGGGCTCAACTCCCAAGCTGATCGAAGTCTAGGAACTTCAAACTCTACAATTCCTGCCCAATTCGTTCGTGTTCAAAGAGCATGTTCAGAAAAATTGGATATTTGCGTTATTGTTTTATAACTATAATTAGTATTTCCAGTTGAGATTATGGATGAGCAACAAAATATCAAATCTATTTATAGTGATTTGGGTCATTTGTTAACTAGTTTCTTCTAAGTTTGGAGCATATGATGTGAGTGAAACGAAAAATTTGGATGATAGCATTTCGTAAATAATTATACGATATTTATATAATGTATGAGTAAGGAGGGTTTTTTTTGTATATGGAAGACTTCCAATCACGACAAATATGGAAGACTTTGGTGTTACAATTAGTGATGGTGTTACGCGTTTCCTCACAGCCCCAAATTCATGACACCAGTTGGCAACCACCTGTGGTTCTGCTATTCCATTTACGTGAATTATAGAGCCATGTGTCGTGTTTGCTTGTAGTGACCATATCAATACCAAGCTAGCAGTGGACACTCCACTTGATGATGCTATTAACTTCTCTAAACAAGAATTGATGGACTGCATTGAAAAGAGAACATCTGGACTCGTGTATCGCCACGCCTATCCCTATGTTGTCGCTCATGGACTGCATAGGGATGAGGATTATCCCTATATCGCGGTTCAAGAACCTTGCCTTTGTCATAATTTACTTCAATTCTGGAATTTTGGTATATCGGATTTTCAGCATCTACAAGGCAAACAAGCTATCCTGGATGCTTTGGATCATCACCCAGTAGTAGCATCAGTGAAGGTTTATGAATCATTAATAAGACATTGAGTAATGGAAGTCTATGCCCAAGGGGAAATGAGGCTCCATATCGGGTTCAGGTTCAATCTATGATTTACGTCACACCCTTCTCCTTACGGGGTACGGCGAAAATGAGACCAAGATGTTAGTGCATTCAGACTCGTGATGTTACAATTTTCAGTTGTGATCCATTGTCCGTCGATTTGTTGTTATTTAGACAATTTTTACATGGTCAAGCAAAACTATATTGTAAAGTAGGA